GCTGTGTGTGACTATGTGTGTGCCTGTGTTTGACACGAGTGTGCTGCGCCACAACAACAAAAAAAAAGACTCACGGGCAGACACACGGTCACACAGAACCAGAACAGCGTGACACATGTCTTGGCTGTGTGTGACCGTGTGTGTGGCTGTGTTTGACATGAATGTGCTGCACCACAACAAGATCGTGTGTACGATCTTGTTGTGGCGCAGCACAGTCATGTCAAACACAGCTACACACACGGTCACACACAGCCAAAACCTGTGTCACGCTGTTCTGGTTGTGTGTGACCGTGTGTCTGCCCGTGAGTCTTTTTTTTTTCTGTTGTGGGGTTGTGTACGCTGTACGACAGGCATGACAACTCTCGAATTGACAATGAGGGAGACCCACTGCAAATGAGTGAGGCAGTCGTTACTGCTCAAATTCAAGTGTCTTCCACAAAATCTCTCTCTCTTTCTCTCTCTCTCTCTCTCTCTCTCTCACTTTGCCTGCCGTCTCCTTCACCAACTATCATCCTTCTTTTTTTTGCTCTGTGCAGCGGTTCATTCTCATCTGACTCCTCCTCCTCTTCCTCCTCCTCTTCCCTCTGCACTGTCTGTTTAATCGGTAGAGCGCGGTCGCCCCCTGCCTCTCATGGATAAGGAAGGAGGACGTCCTCTGCCTCTTGTGGATGTCAAAGGTGGGCGTCCTCTGCCTCTTACCAATTGAGGCGAAAAATGGGGGGTCGGTTAACCTTTTCTCCTGCATCTAGTAGACGGACCCGCTCATGGACCGGCTCTTCCACCACGGGAAGGTCGATAAGCGAGCGGATCCCACAAGCCACTAGGAGCAGCCCCCAGACGGCCAAGCAGCTGTGACGGTCTCTTCGGACCATAGAATGCATGCAGCTGCTCCCCCTGCTGCTCTCCCTCCTGCTCTCGCTGTTCCTCTACGTGGTCGTCCATCTGCTGCTCCTTTTGCTGGTCGTGCTGCTCCCGCTGCTGCTGATCCTCGGGCTGCGGCTCCACCAACTGCTTGTCCTCCTGCTGCTCATGTTGCTCCTCGTCCCCCCGCTGCTGCTGATCCTCGGGCTGTTCCTCCTCCTGCTGCTCCTCGTCCAGCTGCTCATCCACCTGCTGCTCCTCCTCCTACCCCTCATCATCGTGCTCGTCATCCTGCTGCTCTTCCTGGATGCTCTTTCGAGACCGGTCTCGGGCATGCCGTGCTGCAACCCGTTCGCTGAATCTTGTGCCTCCCACATATGGAGTGATGTCCTCCCTCCGCGTCCACGACTTGTCAGAGTCGGACCGCTCGTCCTGCCACTCCTCACAAGGAAAGCCATCACCCTTCTCCTCCTTCTCCTCCTCCTCCTCCTCCRCCTCCTCCTCCTCCTCCTCCTCCTCTAAGTCCCTCGTATTTCAAAAAATACGAGTAGCGGTGACGATGGTGGTGCTGCCTCTCTCAGATCCGGCAGCCTCAAGCCCAACAACAACACCGTCGTCCACGTCAACCTCACCAGCCGCCTCGCCGTCCAGATCCTCGTCCTCCCAATCACGCTGCAGTCCGAACCACCCTCCTTTCACTGTCGGACCGTCCTCCCCCCTGCTCTTCAACCTAAGGTTCCAGAGGGAGTAGACCAGTTTCTCGGTGCGCTTGTGCTTTAACTGGTTCCTTGTCTTCATCTGCACAAGGGTCCACGTGCTCCAGTTCCTCTCTGCAGGAGAGGATGTCGTCCATATTGAGAGCACTTTGATCGCCAACTTCTTGATCTCAGGATGACCACCTCCGTGTGCCTTCCACCAGAGCACTGCATTGTCCTTCTCTGCGCTCCTTAATGCTCCGACCGACCCAAAAACCCCTATGGCGAACTGGAAGTCGTACAGCTGGTCTGTGCAGTCGTTGAACTTTTGTGTCCCTTTCTTGGCAACAAGGCGGTCCACCACGTTGTCGAACTGCGCGATGAGCTCCTCGTTGCTGAAGACGCTGATGTCCCTCAGTCGAGGGTCCAACAGTCGTGCCATAACATGTATAGGGCTCAACAACATATCCGTCCTCTTCCCGACATCGGTCAGGATCGTCTCTCACTCAACATCTGTGAGCGCGACACCGCGTACGCAATTCTTCAGTGCAACAACTGCATCGTACACATGGGACAGGCAGTGGATGTCCTTTTCAACCATTCAGAGCACCTTGTACGACTCCGCCAACACTGCATGCAACTTCCTTATCTCATCCCAGAAGGCTTTGTCAGTGACAAGTTTCTCCACCTCTGCAGCATCCCTCCTCAAGTACGGTTGGCTCGCCATGTCTGTCCACGAGTCCGCCAGCACCACGCGACGAACAACTTTCTCGCACGTGATAAGTCGATCCAGCATCACATAGTGCGTGCCGAACCTCGTCTGCGCAGGCCGAAGGATAACTCTGACTTTCTGGCCCTTTTGCTTTGTGAGCTCTATGCGCAATGCAGACCGTGGCCGTCTGTGGTTCCTAAAGAACTTGACTACCTTATTCGTTTTCTTGATTGCGTTTGTTGCCCACGGCTGATCGCCCACATCCTGCATGAACAAGTCCATGCAATGTGCAGTGCATGGGATCCGGTAGATCTGCTGGAACTGTGGATCCTCCCTCAACATGGTTGCCGCACTCTTGTTGCCGGAGAAGGAGTCCGTGCAAATTGTCGTGATCTTCTCAACCCCGATGTCCCGAAAAAACCTCTTCCATCCCTCCACAACAGCAGCAGCATCCTTCTCCTGATCGCTGACGTCCTCGCATTTGATAAACAGAGGCTTCGACAAGCCTGCGAGGATGTAGTTGACCAACGACCGCCCACAGATGTCCGTTGTGCCGTCGGTGATGAAGGTGCAGCTTGTGATTTCCGAATCATCTCGAATCGCCTGCTCCTCCTTAGTCAACCTGCGCTGCAAGCCGTCTTGAAGACAGCACCTGAGAGGGTTGTACCCAGTGGGAAGCAAAGGATGTTTAGCAGCCGGTTGCGGTCGATAGCAAGTGTTCACGAACTTCTTGAAGCTCCTACTCCTCGCCACGTTGAAGGGGATTGCATTTTCCACGAAAAACCCGATGCAGCTATCGTCGATGTCCTTTTGTCGCGGGTTTTTGGCCCACCTAGCAATTGAAGCCTGCTTCGCCCGTCCATGCGTACGGACAACCGCATGTGCTGCCTGAAGATGGCCATGGTCCCCCCCCCGCCCACATACGCTTCGCAAGGCAGCAGCCCCCCCCCCCAACGTCCTCCACCCCGCTGCAAGTTTGTGGACGTGACTCTCCACCAGCCCCGACGTGTCTCTCTCCCTCCCCAATGTCATCCACTGCAACATCTCTCTCCGCGCTGCTCTGCTCCTCCTCCTCCGCCTGCTGCACCAACTCCAACATGTCTGGAGGCAATTTCGCCCCAACATCCCGCAGCCTCCTCCAGATTGTCAGGGTCCCATGGGGGCAACGAGAAGTCTTCCTCTTCCAAGTGAAGTGGTCGACTGCACGGGGTTGCCCACTTGTGAACTCATGCCCGCACAACTTGCATTTGAGGCGGCGCCCCCCACGAGTACTGTCGTCCAACCTCTGACCCGCCGCCACCCATGTCCACACACAATGGGTCGACCGGAATGTCGGATCCTCCACGAACGGTCCCCTCTCAGCATCACGCGAAGACCCTGGGCGGCCATCTTCTGTTGATCTTCTTCCCGCCATGACAAAAATGTAGCCGCTGTTGATGTGGCACAAGCTGATGCCGCGACTGCTGTTACTGCAAGTGCTGACATGGCACTTCCTGATCCAAAATCTGCTGCTGTGCGACTTGTTGATGTAGTGCCCGCTGGTGGACCAGGTGTTGATGCGGCACCCACAGATGTAGCAGATGCTGATGTGGCAGCCACCGCTGCAGCAGGTGCTTATGTGGCACCCACTGATGCAGCAGGTGCTGATGTGGCAGCTGCTGATGCAGCAGGTGCTGATGTGGCACCCGCTGACGCAGAGGTGCTAATGTGGCACCTGCTCATGCAGCACCTGCTGTTGTACTATCCGCTGATGTCGCACCTCCTGATGTGGCACTGCAGATGCCGCTGCAAGGGTGCCAAGTCGCACGTTGTCGTTGGTTGCCCCTCTCTCTCTCTCTCTCTCTCTCTCTCTCTCTCTCTCTCTCTCTCTCTCTCTCTCTCTCTCTCTCTCTCTCTCTCTCTCTCTCT